AGCGTCTGTCTCCTGCATGTACCCCACATTTGTGGCAAAAAACTCTGAGTAGACAAAGTGACATCTTCAGGGCTTTGAACCAATTTGTAAGCTACTTGTCAAAGGACAGTAGTCTACAATCACAGTCTACTTTCTGATTCTAAATTTACAATTATTTCTATTTAATATTGAGCTGTTATCAGCACATTTAAAAATATTCCTATTTATGGTTCATTTTATATATATAGTACGAATATGCTCATTTTATAGACTCAGATTTTTTATTTTACTTAGTATTTTTTAAAGTGTAAGCTAATGACTAAACATGATCTTATTTTACATTCGGAGACTAGGTCTAGTACATCGTAAACTATCCATCTCAATGCCTTTTCTGTCCATATTGTAAGCTTAGGTTCTTGATTCTTTTGATAGTGAAAAACCTGATGGGTTATCCCAAGAGTTGGGACTGGAAGGGGAGAGATCATCTTCTGAAGACCAGATGAGGATGAAGTGGGAAAGCCTCCATCACGAATTTAGTGCCAAGCAGAAGCTACTCCAGAACACTCTGGAACAAGAACAAGAGCAAGTGGTATCAGACAATTTTGTTTTCATATATTCACTCATGTAAGAGATGCACAGCTTATGCTAAGAAAATATAACCACGGTAATCTGTATTTTCATGATTGCTGCCGTAGTAAGATATAAATTATTCATCATGTACTCTTCCTTAAAAGCCTGTGTCCCATGTATCCATACGTGAAATTTTCAGTGCTAACATTTTTCCTCCCAGGTGACTGACCTCTGACTCAGAAGAAGCATAAACCATTAAATGCTTAAATCGGTTTTTTTTTGTTTTGTTTTGTCTTGTTTTGTTTTGTTTTTTGTGGAACCAGGGATTGAACTCAGGCCCTTGCTCTTGCCAGGGAAGCACTTATTCCGCTGAGCCATCTCCCTGGCCCCTTAAATCTTGTTTTCACATTAAGAATTATAGATACAAATCAAGGATATGAACTTGTATAGTACAAGGCATTCTGCAGGTTTGAAATGGTCAAGTTGTCTCACTTCCCATTGCTACCTCCAGTGTCTAATAATTTCAGATCTTAATGAGAAACACACTGGACCTTCTAGAAAGCAAGAAAGCCAGAGGTCAGCTAACCTGGTAGCTGGCCCACTGGTAAGGCTGGTTCTTGAGACAGATCATTGTGTTGCAGAGGGTGGAGGAGCTGAATACAGCAGCAGGAGGTTCCAGGGAAATAATTTCTATCAATCCACTCTAAACAACAGCAAGGAAAGCAGGGGAACATAGCAGAATCTGCCAGTTCAGAGCATTGGTGAGAGAGCCAGGGGCCCACGCAGACTTGAGATGTCTACCATGAGCTAAAACCCAGTGCCCCTTGTCTTGGTTACTTTTCTCTAGTTGCTGAAACAAAATATCTAACACCCAGAGTTAAGGACAGAAGGGTGTGTTTAGCTCACAGTTTGTGGAGGTTTCAGTCCATACTTGGCTGGCTCAAAGGCAAAGTAGCATATGCACAAGGCAGAGAGGCACTAAATAGCAAAAAAGCAGCAGAGAGCAAGCCTCATTCCCTCCCTATGTTGTATACAGACTACCTGCCCTAGTGTGGGTGCAGCACTCACACTCATAATCCCAGCACTGGACCATGAATCAATCACAAACTCTGGAAGCCCATACCATGACTACATGAAGCTTTGGTGGGACATCCAGGGAGAAACCCTAACAGCCCTATTCTAGCCCAGCAATGTTTTCCTAGGCTCATGGCAGGGCCATAGTTTTCTATCACGGTAATCCTAAGACTTGTAGTCTTGATCTGAGGAAACTTCCCTTCTCACTTTAGCCGTGTCGGGCTTAGGGAGACTGAGCCTGTAAAGAAAGGGGTCAATAGCTGCATGGCATCTAGGGGAGGGGACCAGGAGCTGCCAAAGCTGGTACTGTGAAGTGACATGACTTGTCAAGACCAGATGAAAGGAAAGAGTCAAAGGGCCACAATGTGTCCCTCATGTAGGCCCTCTTGACTCTCCACAGCCACATATTTCTGTCCCCTTTTGCAAAACCACACCAATGCCATGCCCTGCTTCCACTCCTCTGGCCAGTGAGTCTGCAGGAGTAGTTACCAGCTTTGTGTACAACGAATTTAAAGCATTCTGTTTCCTGGAGGCAGTTGCCCAAAGCTGTGGTCCATCCTAGCACAGGATGCCATTTCTCTTTTGCATGGACCACCTACCTCTCTGCCTTCTTTACCCCTGATCAAATGTTCCTCACATGCATGGCCTTGAATTCTTGAATTCTGTTGCAGATACCCTGGTCTTCATCACAGGCCTTTGTGTATTTTCCCATTCCCTTGGTTAGAAGGGTTAGGTGTAACCCCTTTTCCATCCAACTCATAGCATCTATATCATGTATCTCCTACCACAGGCTCCACCCATTAGCTGCCCTTGCTGGGGGGGAGTTGAGTTTGTGTCTGGTTCATAACTCACTTGCATTTTGATGGTAAATAGAAGACATTCAACATTCTTCACTAGGCCATGTTTTCACTTGAGTACTTAGCAGGAATCACTGGTCATTTGTACGAAGTGCCTCCACGATTTAGTTCCTTTGGTGTGAAAGTGAAGGAAAGATAGAGAAGCAGCAAGTGACTATCACAGTTTCCAGGAGGAAAAGAGAGGTCACCGAATGAACACACTTCCAGTCTGGAAGGTCACATATCAGGGTGGTGATGAGGCCTCCCTTCCCTCCATGTTGTGCACCTGTGAGCTGAGGCCTGGAGTAGCTGGCTTCTCAGGACTTCGTAACGAAGAGGCAGAGTTAGAACCGAGGTGCAGATATGCCTCATTCCCAAGTTCCTCCTTTTCATACTTGCTAACCAGTATTTTGTACACTGAATGTATGTACTGAGCTCAACTATCAGAACAGACACTATTGGTGGAGGGGTGTCACCTACACCCCATCCCAAGAAATAGTTCATGCATTTCTTTAAAATTAAGCACATGGTGAGCTCCATAAACAGAAAGCCAGAGGAAACAGAGATTTGAAACTTAATTGTGGGAAGTTGCTGTTGCAGGTGTGGAAGATAAGACAAGCTTTTGAAGAGATGCTGGGGGATCAGGGCTCCACCTGTAGGAGAAAGTGGGTCAGCACCATCCCAGGATGGTGGGTGGCGGTCTGTAATGGAGACTCTCCCTTCCTCTCCCCTGCCCCACTCCGTTTCCCTTCCCTTTGTTTCCTTCCAGAGGTAGTGCTAAGACTGAGAAGATAAGATTCCAGGTATTTTTCCCCCCACTTTTTTTTTTTTAAACTTGCTGAACAGAAACATTGCCGTTGCTGGATCTGACCACCATGTTCAGTGACAGGATGTATTGTAGAAGTCGTTTCTCTAGGCGAGGCTTTCCTAAGGACACTTTTTTCCAGCATCCATCATAGTGTATACTTCCACATGAGGAAAGTGGCGTACAGTACAAACTCTCTTCAGTAAACCACCCTATTTGTCTGCAGCTGTACAGCAGACCAAGCCGACTCCTGTCTGGGGTGCCACTGTACAAGGGTGAAGCACAGACACAGGATAAATCTGCAGTGACGTCATTGCTGGATGGACTGAACCAGGCCTTCGAGGAGGCCTCATCGCAGGTAGAGTCGTAGGGTTGTGCTGTGCATGTGACTGTTGTGGTTTGGATTGGTGTTGTCTGGCTTGTACAGGTTTCCATAGTCTTTCCATGAGAG